TCTTCCAATTATGAATAAAGTTTTATTGAAACATAACTGTTCCCATTCAGTTACTATCTATGGCTGATTTTGTGCCTCAAATGGCAGAACAGAGTATGGCCCACAAAGTTGAAAGTACTTACTACCTGACCCTTTACAGAAAGTTTTTGCCAAATTTTGGTTTAGAAGATGTTGGAATTCTTTCTTTTAAGGATATTTGCAGTTTTTAAAAATCCTTTCAGACATAGAATCTAAGGAATATAAAAGACCGTTTATCTCAATTTGAGTTTGGGTTTGTTTACACACTGAAGGCACAGAGGAACCTATTTTTTAATAGGAAGACAACTAAATGGACCTGTAGCTGTAGGTGGTGGAAATTTTGTAGCAGCTAAAACAAGGAACTAAGATTCCTTAGAAATGCCATTAGTTAGGTTTTACTGTTTGTGTTCAGTGTATACTGGTACAGAAAGAAACACAGGTAGAGCAAGTCTAGATAGACTTCACTGCAGAATTGTATTTGATAGGTCTGTGTACTTGACTGGTGAACATAGCTGAGCTCTCAGGAAGGAAGGGCATCCAACCTCAAGATCAACATTATCTTGGCGGGGTGGAGGGGATGGATGAATTTCTCACATTCCATTGAGGAAATCTAGCCTCTTAGCATCCTGTTCATCAACAATTTCATAGTTAAGTAATCATCTGGTTTTTAATCTAATAGATTTTCCATCTAATGAAGAAATGGAATGAAAATTTGAATATAAAGGTTAGCATCCTTAACACAATGCTAGTCTTATTTTCACTTTAAAAAAGGTATGTCTTTTTTATTTCCCTAGTAACAGATGAAAATGAGTTTGTAAATTGTTAGAATACAAAAGACAATGGAGACTGGCTAATTGAGGGGAACATTTGTCCTTTTAAATATTCTTTTGGAGTCCTCTGATTTTTGTATTTTACAAAATATAGTGATTTTAAAAAGTGTATAAAACATGCATATAGTACATAATTTTAAAATGTACAAAAGGGTATATAATGAAGAGTACCTGCCCCTCATTTTTGTTCCTTCATTATTCATTTCTCCCTTCTAGAGGCAACGAAATTACCAATTGTTTGGCCTTTTATTTTTTTTTTTGCTAGAAATAATCAATGTATTTATAAGCATTACTTATTTTTCTTACTATCTTTTTTATTCCTTTTCCATAGGTGGTATTATCAGACATTATTACATGTCACTTTTAAAAATTTATCATGAATGTGTCCTGGCTGGTGTGGCTCATTGGATTGAGTGCTGGCCTGCAGAACCAAAGGGTCGCCAGTTTGATTCCCAGTCAAGGCACATGCCTGGGTTGCAGGCCCTGTCCCCAGTAGGGGGTGCATGAGAGGCAGCACACATTGATGTTTCTTTCCTTCTCTTCCTCCCTTCCCTTCTGTATAAAAATAAAATAATTAAATCTTTTAAAAGATCTATCATGAATACTCTTCCATAACAATATATGTTAAACCACTTCATTTAAAAAAATTTTTTTTAAAGATTGATTGACTATTTATTTATTTATTTATTTATTTTTTAGAGAGGGAAGGGAGGGAGAAAGAGAGAGAGAGAGAGAAACATCAATGTGTAGTTGCTGGGGGCTGTGGCCTGCAACCCAGGTATGTGGCCTGACTGGGAATCAAACTGGCGACCCTTCGGTTCTGCAGGCCAGCACTCAATCCAATGAGCCACACCAGCCAGGGCATTTTAGAGAAGCAGAGTTTGTTTTCCCAGTCTCCTGTTGGTGGACATTTAGGTTTTCTGTGTTTTGCTATCAGTGTCACAATGAACACATCATTTTGCACATGTGAAAGTTAGCTTCAGGATAAATTTTTAGAAATAGAATTGCATGGTCAAATGTAATGGGCATTTAGAATTTGATAGATGTTGCCAGATCCTCTCCTCCTCATCCCCATAGATGTACTGATTTATAGCCCCACCAACAATATGAGTCTTTATTCCCTATGTATATTTATCAGTTGTTTTTTTAGCCTTTGTCTCATTAAGTGAAAAAAAGGAATCTTGGCAATTTAATTTGCATTTTTCTGCATGAGTCAGGTTGATCATCTTTACCAGTGATTAAGAGCCATTAGTAATTTTTCTGTTTAATTTCCATTTATATCTTTTGCCCATCTAATTAATTGTTGGTCTTTTTTAAAAAATGAGATTGCGGATGCTATTTATATATTAACAGGAGTTGGCCCTTTCTCTTTGGTATAATGTACTTTATTTTCTGGTCAATTGGAGTATTTTGGAATATTGCATTTTATGTTAGGAACCATTCAAAGGCTTGTTAACCCTTCTTTCAGCTAGTTAGTAGGTATTGCTTATCAGTTGTTTTGTCAAGTACTCAGAAGTTTGGTTTAAGCCTGCTGTTACTAAAATCATTAATTTTCCCCCCAAATTAAAAAATGAGTATATATCCATGTAAAGATAGCAATATATATCCAGAGACAAAATAGCTATTAGTCTTTGGTAATACATTTTTTTCTATTCTAAAAATTATAAGGAAATGATTCTAGATGAAAAAAGGACAATTACAGATTTTTAGACTGAAATATTACAAATTAGACTGACTACCTAGGGATCATACTGATAATCACTGTCAAAGATGTAAGGGGAAAAAGAATAAGGAAATGTAATTGTGTGTGTTAATACCTTTAGTTCTCACACAAACACTATTAAAGCATGGGGAGCAGGTGGGTATGCTACTTATGTGTTACAGATGAGGAAACCACAGAACCAAATAGGTAAGTAGGTTCAACCCAAGATAGATGTCTGTTGTGAACAGTGCTACTGTAAGTATTACGTATGTATACTTGTTTGAGTACCTGTTTGCAGTTCTTTTGGGATATGAACCTAGGAGTAGAATTGCAGGGTTATATGATAATTGTGTTTAACTTTTTGAGAAACCACCAAATTCCCACAGCAGTGGAACCATTTTATATTCATTTTCACCAGCAATGTCCATGGGTTCTAATTTTTCCACATTCATATCAGTACTTGCTATTTTTCATAATTTCTTGATGTTCTGAATGGTATTATAGGTGGTATAATTTTTTTTTTTACTTTGTTTTCTGTGTGTTGCTGGAATACAGAAATATGTTTTTTCTATGTAAATTTTGTATCTAGTGGCCTCAGATTCACTTGATAATTCTAATAGTTTGTGTATTTATCAAATTTTCTATGTACATCTGAATTTCTGATTTCCAAGTGCTGTCTTATATTTTTTTCTTTTTCATAGTAGTTGGTTATTTTATGGATGCAATATTCTTATGAATGGCTTGGAGGATATTTATTAGAATTTGAATTCTTTTAAAATTTTTCATTACCTTAGTTTCCTTTCTGGTCAATTCTGTCACTTTTCACTTTGGTCCCTCTTATTTGGTAAGTATTTCAGAGATATCTAGTGATCTTTGGTTATCTGTTCATGTTTACAAAGGACTAAGATGGTTTGGTTTTGGTAGTTGACTTTGGCTTCTTAGCATTTTGAGGTCTGTTTCTCCCAAGGAACTTTTCTCCAAATGGAGATTGAGAGCTCTGCATGAGTTTAAGGGCCAGTAGCAGCCAGTTAGGCTGGGGACCTAAAACCTATTCTGGGGCTCCAGTGCTGTGAAGGCTTTTTTCTTTTAGTTTTTATTTCCTTCCTCCTGATCCCCCACTTCTGCTACCTCCATTTGTTTATGTTTGGAACACCCTTAGGCTCATCCATACTTTTCTTTTATCTCTTTTATACCTAGCACACCCCCATGCTGAATGCTCTTCTTCCCAGATCTGGATACTGAGCCTGGGGAACCAAAGTTTATACAGGAAGTAAGACTGTCATGAGTGGCTCTCCTCTTCTGTGAGCAGTCCTTTAATTACCTTGATTTCCCTTAATTCACCTTATTTTCCTGGGTTTGGTGTTTTCTATTTAGGAAGTTGGGACAACTCCTGACTCCTTATAGTCCTTGTCTATGCTTGTTTTGATTGGATTGTTATTTCTTCTGCTATGGCTTTTTTATCCAATTAGTCTCATCTATTTCTTTTAGAAATTCTTCCTTCTCTTCCCTTCCCCACTTGATGATGGGCTATTTCTTATTTTTCAATTGTCATCAATTTATTCTTATAATATGAAAAATTTGGGCATAAAACACATGTATCTACTCCACAGCTTAAATAAAACAAATATAATTGAAGTTCTTTATTCTTTCCTGATTGTATTGCACTCCTTTTTTATGCATCTATTGATATTGTGTGTATTTCTAAACAATGAAGAGCATTGTTTTGAATGTGTTTGAGCTTTGCATAGTGACATACTGCATGAATATTTCTGCGTCTTGTTTTTTTCCACTTATCATGGTTCTTTTGTTTGTTCATTCTCTTAGCATACTTTTCTGTTATTGCAGTGGAATTTGAGGAAGGAGGAGAAGTCAGCCCATGTATTTCTAGTATAGCTTTTTTAAAAGGGAGATTGAAGCACCTTTTGGATATGTCACTATTAACATGTAGGAGAAAGGACGCAGTGTTACCTCTTCTTGTTTCAACTGATGATGATAGGTGAATATGACACCTTGCTGTGTCATACAAGCTAGGCAATTGAGTCTTGCTGCTGACCTCTATTTGCTGTTATAAATCCTTTTGGAAACAGAAAGGCACCATTCATTCGTTTTCGGGTTTAACTGAGGTTTAAATAAGGGTTTGAGTTCTTATTGCTGGAAGGGCTTTTTATGCGCCATTTAGTACAAACTGTACTAGAGAAACCCAGGCCCAGAGAAGGTGAGTGACTTGTCTGAGGTGATCCAGGGGGAAAACACACGAATTGGAAACTGTTGTTACAGTTCCTTATTTTCCACTCTACTGCAGCAAACCAAGGATAAAGTCTCCTTTTTGTTAACATTGAACTTTGATTTTTGCCTGTCCTTTAAAATATTTATTTGAATACCAAGAGATTTTATACATAAGGATGAGTGTAAATCTTTGAATTGATGTTTACTTGTTGTGTTTTCCTTAGGATCAGAATGGTTTCAATCCCAGAATACTATGAAGGCAAGAATGTTCTCCTTACTGGAGGTACCGGTTTCCTAGGGAAAGTACTTCTGGAAAAGTTGCTGAGGTCTTGTCCTAAGGTGAATTTAGTGTATGTTTTGGTGAGGCAGAAAGCTGGACAGACATCGCAAGAGCGAGTAGAAGAAATCATTAGTGGCAAGGTAAGTGTGGAAAATAATCATTTGGAGAAGAAAAAAAAGTGTGGTGTTTGTGTGTATATTTCTTCAGTATCCTGAAAAAAGTTAATAAAATGTACCCTACAGAATGGCAGTGAACTGGATGTGATGTGATCAGTAGGAGAAAAAAACTTTTCTTTATTGATGGGAAAAAATTTATAACAAGTTCCAAATTGCTTTTATGGTAGATATAGACTGTGTTTTTAGGAAATGTGAGGCAAATTATTTGTGATTACTAAGTATTTCAAGTAGACTTCAGAATATAATAATTAAGAGAGAGTTTCTAGTGACCTTCTGTGCTGTGAGACTCTGTGCTTTCATAACACTTAAAAATTTGTTAGCACTGATTGTTCCCTAGAACAGTATTAGAGGGTAGCAAAGTCACCTATTCCCATTTGACAAACAAGAACATGATGACAGAGGGGTCAAATATGATACAAGACTATGTCATACATTTTGAAACTAGAAAATACAAGGGTGGGCAAAAATAGGTTTACATTAGTGAGTACGTGGAACAGTTTATTCTTGCATTATTATTTATTAATTGTATTATTTTCCATACAAATAACTGCACACCTACTTTTGCTTATCCCTATATTGCTAAGAAGAAATGTAAATGAGCTGGAGTAAAGTTATTTTGCAATCATAAGCTTTTAAATTCTCTAAGAATGAATTAATTTATCTGACATTGATTCATAGTAAGTTTAGTGTAGTTAGCTATGTAATTTTTTAGTTATTGGGTAGATATGTGGTACCTTTTAACATTCAGTGACTTATGTTTAAAAAACAAAAACAATATTGGAGACCTCTGAATCAATGAAAGATTACTGAAAAGTGTTTGGGCCAGTTTCTGAACTCTGGCAGATATTGATAGATCCCATTTTACAAATATGGACAGTGAGTCTCAGAGGTTATAATTTTATTTGAAGTTACGTAGCTTATAGATGTTGGAGATAACACAGATGACTTGGTAACAAATCCCTATTACTTTACAACTATATAACATTCCCCAAAAGGTAAGAAATTAAGGGAAAGATGATGGAAGAAGGCTTTGTGGTACAATGGGAGAAGTAGTCTTCAGAGTTGCATAGCTTACTAGTTGCAAGAGTAGTTGGTACACTGAGTGATATTAACTTAATTTCCCAAAGCTAATGGTAGTTGATGTCCAAGTTGATAAAAATTAGAAGAGAAGATGACAAAGAACAGAAAAGAGTGTGAAGGGCAGGGAATAACAGAAGTAACACAGCAGGAAGAAGAGTCAAGTTATGGGTTAGGGCATTAATGGGAAGCACATTTCCTAAGAGTGATAAAGTATGATAATGGAAGAACAATTATGAGAAAAAAGGAAGAAAAAAATCAGACCTGTATAGAAATTTGGGGGTGTTTAAATATAACTATTTAATGATCTTAATATCATAGCATTATAATAAAATATAAAAAATACTAACATGGTGACTTGGAATGAGTTAAAAGACTAAACTATATTTAGAATGTTTACTGAGGTATTTATTGTTTGGGAATGATTTCCATTCAAATATAACCAGTTCAGAAAGGTAAACTTCACTTATGTTTAGAGCATCTGTTTTTCTTGCTTGTATTTTTCTTTTCTCATAAAGAGGTAATCTTAAAACCACATGGTTTTAACTGTGAAGTATAAAAATAAATTATTTGATGCTATTAATATGGAATTAACTAATAAAAGTATTTACCTTTGTCTCCACTCTTTATTAATTCTATTTTTCCCCACATAAAAACTTTATAAATAATTCTTACTTCTGGAAAAACGAATTTTCTCTGGATTTTTTTTAAATGATCTACTTTTTTGAGTGTTACTCAGTGATACTATAACTCAAATAGCTAGTAACACATTGTAACATTCTTCCCCATTGCCCCACACACTCTCATGCACTTGTGTTTCTCCGTCCTGTCACAAAGATATGTGGAGTCCTGCTATGTACCAGGGGCTGTTCAGGTTACTAGAGCTATAGCAGTGAACAAAATAAAGTCCTAGTATTTGGGGAATTTACTTCCTAGTTTGAGAGACAGGTTAACAAATAACATGTTGAGTAGTGATATGTACTATGCAGAAAAGGAAAGCAGGTAAAGGGGATAGAAAGTGATAGAGGTGCTACTTTAGATTTGATGATCAGAAAAGTTCTCTGAGGTAACATTTGGGCAGAGACCTGAATGAAGTGAGGAAGAATCCTTGTGGGAATGTGGAGGAAGATTGTTCAAGGCAGAGGAAATGGTAGGGACAAAGGCTCTGAGATGGGAACTACTTGATAGGTTGAAAGAGCATCAGGACAAACGCTGATTTTTATTTTACTGGGACTGTATAAAGCATGTAAAGTAACTATTAAGTACTAGGATATTCCCTACCAACACTCCTCTCCAGGTGAGCTTTCTACCTCCTAAAATATAATAAAATTGCTAGTTTATTCTTTTAAAATTTTTGCTTATTTAACTTGAGAAAGAGGGCTTCAAACAAATATTTATACTTAACACATGAGGAAAGTGTAGCTGATATTAACTTTAAACTCAAAGAATTATCACATGAAGCTTCCAGGTTCTTATTTTTAACAGTAAGATGGGAGTTAAGTGAGAAGATGGACTGATCTCTGTTCCCTATGATTTTAAAATGAAAACTGTTTGGTAAAGTAGTGTAAGAACATGTTTTAAAAACGTGATATAATTTTTAGCTTATTTTCCAGGGACTTTTAATTATAACTCTTGAGAACATTGTTTGAATTGGTAAATTGACCTCAGCTTAGTGCAGATTGTTATCATTACCTTATGGCTACTTTTTTATATTGACCAAATAGGTTAACAGATTCTGTTTATTTATTGAAGGCAGTGTGATTCTCAAACCTTAGGTTTCTGGACCCCTTAGCACTCTTAAAAATTATTGGGGACTTCAAAGAGGCTTTGTTTTGTGAAGTTTTGCTTCAAATATCTTATTGATATTTATCCTAGTAGAAATTAAAACAAAATTTTAAAGAATATACAAGCACACATTCCATTAGCCATCAGAGTAAGGTTGTCATGACACATGTAGCCTTTGGAAAATTCCTTTCTATACTTGCGAGAGAACGAAAGTGAAAAATGCAAATAATATCTTAGTGTTAGTGTGAAAATAGTTTTGACCTTGTAAATTACCTAAAATAGTGTTGGGGACTCCTAGGATCCTTAGACTGTACTTGAGAACTGCTATTGAATAAGAGTGTACAGTGGTGTTTAGACCATTTGGGGACAGTCTGCTGGTACATTTTTATGGATATACCTAATAAGGGCAAATGTTCGTATTTTAGAAGAGAGTTGACTTTTACGGACATCAAAAATTAATTTGAACCTGAGCTTGGCAGTAAAGAAAAGATTTAGAAAATGAAGTTGGGGTTAGAAACAAAACTTATTAGAATGCTTTAAGCTCAAATTTGGTACATGTAAGGAATCTTATTCTGTAGGCACATCCCCAAAAGGAATTTTGATTACAGTATTTATTTTTACTCATTTTTTATTTTTCAGAAAATATTTATTGTGCCTCCTTAGTGCTAGGTACTTGACTTGATGCAGGGATTTGGCTTTGGGGGAAAAATAAGAAAGAGTCCCTACTTAAATGGAGCCTGTAGTCTAGAGAGGTTTTAAGAGGGACGAGTAAAGGTAAATGTGTCAAGTGTAACTGGATAGGAGCAGTTATTGAAGCTGATGTCTTGGTTGAAATTAAGGGCCTGAGTATAATGTGAAATATTTAGGCCTCCACTGTGGGTTCTCCAGGGCAGTGCTTCTAAAACTTTATCTCCACAGTGATTCGTAAAGAAAATAAGTATCTTCTACTTAAAGCCTAAAATTTCTTTGAACTTTTTGGTTTAGTCTAAACATATGGCCATTATGTTCAATATAAAAATGCATTGTCCAAAAATATTTGTCTAAATAAATATTTCACTAGAATAGCCCATAAATTATATTATTTTTCTTATGTGTTTAATTCCTGTCTACCACATCCTGCCATTTAATCCCAGGGCCACTCATTCTCCATTATGTATTGCATTGCTAACGAATCAGTAAAATGTGTCCTTTTTATATCAAGTATCAGGGAATGTACACTTAAAGTTAGTAAGAAACTTCTAGGGAAGCCTGCAGTGATTTTGACTGAGGAATGAAGAGTATAGGTAAAGAGTATATACCATAGTGAGACATTGTTTTATGGTAGAGTTTCTCAGTTTCAGCGCTAGTGACATTTTGAGCCAGATAATTCTTTGTTATGGGAAGCTGTTTTGTGCTTTGTAGGGTGACAGCAGCATTCCTGGCATCTACCCACTACATGCCAGCTTCTTCCTTCCCTTACCCTCCCAGTTGTGACGACCAAAAATGTCTTCAGACATCACCAAATGTTCCCTGGAAGCAAAAATTACACCAAGTTGAGAGCTACTGATTCATAGGAATGTCTCTGGGAAAAGAAACTACATTGGATAGTGAGGATTAAATTAAAATAGTTGACCTGAAATAAATTCTGGAAGGGGAATAAAGTGTATAAAAGAGGGCATCAGTGAACTTAATAAAGTAGGGACTAATTGGGGTACCAGTGGGGGAAAATGGTATTGATTAAAGAGAGGGTGACTAGGAAAGGGAAGAGTATCAAGTTGTGATGTAACTTGTGAAGCAGCATGATCATGTCTTGGTGGAGATATGTGATAGGAAGGGGAATTTAAGGTCATTGGCAATCTGGGAGAATGAAAAAAATGAAATAAAAAAGTGTGTATTCAAGGTGTTAAAAGTACTTTTCTGGTCATTCCTCAGGTTATTTTTTCTCTGCTTGCCCCTTAAATATTGATATTCTTCAAAGTTTGGTTCTAGGCCTTGATTTCTTCAGAGTAGGTCCAGTTTGGTGATTACTGAGCACTGTTTTATGTTAGGTGAATGGTTGTGTTTTAAATTAGATTTGGAAAAAGCTTTATATAGTCTGTACCTATCAGCCACCTGTGTGTGGTTAGTAAATCTGTATCAGTCTGGCTCTATCTTCCCTGAACCCTAGACTGACAGAACCAGTTACCTGTACTAGATCTGTCTTCCGGGGTGTCATATAAGCACTTTATATTCAACATTCACAAAACAGTTTTTGAAAAACCTTCAAAAATTTGAATCTTTATAACTGTACTTCTTTTACTTTCAGTGTGTTCCACCTAGTGAATTTATTTCCTTAACAAATATTTATGTCTTGCTATTTAGGGCCTGTATGCTAAGCAAATAGATATTGTCCCAGTCCTGCTGGAGTTTGCATTCCTATCCTTCATATCCAGTCATTAGCCAAACCTACTGAATTGTTTTTAATTTCTCAAGTATATCAATCCTCTCTCAGTGGTTGTACATGGTACTTCCTCTGCCAGAAACACTAATCTTCTGCTTCATAATCTCAGGTCTTTACCAAGTTGGGTTAGTGCTATCTCCTAGGCAGTCCCATAGCACTGTAATATTTACCCCTATTTTATTACTTACAAATTGTATTTAATTGTTTATTTACTTGTTTAGTTTTACCTTGTAAAGTCTGAGTTTTAGAAATCTGAATGAGCATTTTAAACACTGTCCTGATGTTTGTACTGCTTAAGTCTGTCCTGAGGGATAATATAATCAACAAAGGTGTAGACAGTTCAAATTTATCTCTGCAAATTACCAGCTCTGTATCTTGAGCAAGTTATTTAACTTCTCTGATTCCTCAGATTCCTCATCTATGAAATGGGGATAGTAATGTGGGTCTCATAGGGTGTTTTTGATACAGAATGATGTTAAGAATAGGAACCTTAGGGGTTGTATAGTTGAAGTTTTAAAACTAGTGGTACTCAATGGGGAAAAGGGAGATAGATGATAGTGGGTTTTAGAAGGTTCAAAAATGCTGCCCTAAACTGCTTTTTCCCCTTTGATAGCTCTTTGACAGATTGAGAGATGAAAATCCAGATTTTAGGGAGAAAATTGTAGCAATCAACAGTGAACTTACCCAACCTAAACTGGCTCTTAGTGAAGAAGATAAAGAGATCATCATAGAGTCTACCAATATTATATTCCACTGTGCAGCTACAGTAAGATTTAATGAAAATTTAAGGTAAGTAAAGGTATTTCTCTGATATTTGAAATTCTGCATGGTTAAAAGATTTAATCAGAACTCTATTTTTCAGTCAAGTTGTTTTTATAGTGATTTGAAACTGTCACTTGTAGCTTTCAGTGTCCTACATGGTGAGAAAAGAATTTCCTTTCTCTTGTTATCAGTTTAAAAATATTGGATAGCTAGTGTATATTTATTAGAAGTTATCATGCATGTAATTATGGGACAGGGGAAGGCAAGGAATGGGAGTTACGGAGTAGAAGAAAGAAAAGTTCCCCTTGGGTGGGAGTGTTAGTCTGAACAGCTAATAGTGTTTGTTTCCCTTCCCTCCATTCTTTCAGCACCTTTATTTTTCTACTCCACATATGTCCATCTGAAAATTTTTAAAAATTAGGCTCAGGTTTGTAGAGTAAGGTAAAACAGCTTATAAATTTAAGTCATACTTTGTTTTTGTTTTAAAACTCTGTCAGCAGTGTTAGGGGCAAGGTAAATTGAACGTAATTTAAAAAATAATTTGGACTTCCTTCAAGATACCTGTTTTAAGAAAAAACACTCTAAATGTTTACTATTTTGAAAACATTTAACAAATATGCATTTCAAAGAGTGGTGTTTAATTCAGAGCATTCTTTTTGATTGTATGTTAAAAAATACAGTGTTATAATGTTAATCAAATTGTATGATCTTATGCCAGTTAAATTGATGCAGACTTCTTTAGGTTTCACAATTACTTGAAGGCCTTTTTCTTAAAGTGCTTTTCAATTATATTCTGATTAAATTGAGATTATCCCCTACATTGTCTTTAATATAGAAGTATAAACCTTAATTGACATTATACAATGTAATAATTCAAATGCCAAAGCATTACAGTGAGTTTTGCCTATATTCCAGGTGAGGGTACTGCAAAATAGTCCCTTATGTTTCTGTAATAGTGCTTTATAGTTTTTAGGGTATTTGATATTTTCTCATCTGTTATTTTATTCCATGCTGATGTTACCAACTGTAATAGTATAGGCAAATCTATATGATGCTTATGGAAACTGAGGCAGCATTGTGTAATGGAAAGGTGGTGAGCTTTGGAATCACATACCTTAATTCTGATCTTTATTATTTAGTAATCTTCGTTATTTATTTTTTAGTTCTTTTTATGCAGCTGTTACATATTCATGATTGAAAAGTGACAAAAGAATCTTATAAGAACTATTGTACAATCACATTTTCATAAAGTGTATGTGTGTTTGTGTGTATATGTATTTATAGACATGTCTTTCTATACTTGCCAGTTATCTTTGGGTAGTGTAATTCCAGGTAGGCTTTTAGCATGAAATAGTCAATCCAACAGGTGTTTTTTCCCCCACAGTTCTGCCTTTTATGATTTTTAATTTTTTTTCATAACCAAAAGAAAGAGTTCACACAGCCTTTAGAAACTGTTTTCAAGGAAAAAAGTATATAGATACTAGATAATTATGGTATATATAGTCTTCATTGGAATAGATAACATTAATTGATGTGAAACTCATCAAACTAGCCTTTATGAGGAGGACCAAACTACAATACTTTCAGGGTACCTTCTTTCTCTCTTTTTGTTCCCCTGGGATAAGCAAGGCTACTATTAATGAAAGGGAAATCTTTTCATGATTATTCTTTCTTCTTTTACTAGAGATACCATAGAAGATTGGGTAGACAAGTAAATAAAATTTATTATTCTCTGTTTCTTGTCAAGGCATATGTGTTTGCTGACCAAAGCCTCATCATTGAAATTATTGTTTGCTATGAAGCAGTTTTACTGGTGATACTACAGCATTAGATTTGGGCTAGACAGTCTAAAATACTGTATGTAGATTGGCATGTAATAACTACTTATAAAACAGTTACTCTTTATAACCACTTTTTTAAGTTAACCCATAAATAAAAAATGGCACATTATACCCAATATTTTGGGAAAAACCAAGATAAATTACCCACAGATTCTATTTGCAAATCTATACAGTCTAATAGAGGAAATAGAATATATTTAAATAACCATAATATAGAATAGAAAATAAGGAATTACTGAAAAGTAACTATTTTAGCAAGAGCCTTGGGTATGGTTTAAATTACAGGTGTGTGAGTCCCCTGTCCTAAGATTAATTGGTCCCTAGGCATCTGTATCTATATCTTTGTTAAGCTTTTAAAAATCAGCAATTATTGATGAAGTCTCATCTAGGTAGTATTTTCTGAGGTAGGGAAGAGGGGAAGGAAATCAGAATGGCCTGGGGAACTTACTGAAAATGCACTTTCACAGGTTTCACCTCAGTCTTTAAAAAGTGTCTGAGGATGAGGTCCAACAATTTGCATTTTTAATAAACTCTCAAGTGAGTGTCATGCGAAGTGTGAGATCTCCAGTTTAAAAGTCTTAGAAGTATTATTAACATAGATTTTGAACAACCCAGCATGTCTTTGGAAGACAGGTGAACAAGAAAATTTACTAGCAGCTCAAGTTTTCCTTTCCTTCCTTTCCATTCTCCCCTCCTCTCCCCTCCCCTCCCCTCCCTCCTCTCTTCTCTATCTAAAAGTAGTTTCTTTTATGTTCGTGATGGACCATAATTACAAAAATGGGTTCATTTATCCCCACCCCTACCCCAGAGCCACGGTTATGGAGTATGCATTTATGACTCCAGGTAACCAAACATAATGAAAATATTATTTCTGTTTAGTACTAAGTGCTTTGTGGTCTGATATGTCAGGGTCTTAGCCTGAATTTCAGTAGAGTAGAAATTGGATGGCGGTAAAATAGTGAGGTGATTAGCCTGGCAGTGATACTAAGAGTTACTTAAGTTGGCACAAAATGCCTTCAGGTTTGGGCTCTCAGGTACAGATGGGAGGGGGAAAGCAGAAGTGGAGGGGTAGAAAGTCTCTGGAGTGTTTCCCCTCTCAAGTTATTCCTTATTTTCAGTGACCCAGAAAGTCTGTCACCATCCTCAGGAACAGAATATCCTTTGTATTCTGATCCTAAAACATTGCTGTCCTTACCCCTATTGTTTTGCAAATGAAAGAGAAAACAACACATTGCCTTGCAGTCTAGTGGATAGTATCCTCTCTGTCAAATGTCTTTTCTGCTGCATTTCCATTTGAACAGATTTCCCTCCTCAGTTGAGATAAGAAAGAAAAAAGGTACATTCATGATTGTAAGACCCTAACCCAATTACTTTATTTTTAAAAAATTTCCTTCTGGTATGTTTTCATAGGCTCTTGGATACTGTTAAATTAAGAGAAAAATAAGACACAGGAATTTTTCCTTTTGTGAATTATTTCTTTTTCCTGGTGACCCAGAACTTGCTGTCCTGTCCTTAGGAACCTGTAACAGAATATTCTCTGTATACCTCTTCCAAAACATTGTTTTACAAATACTGTAGACTTCAAAGCACTGCTTTATAGTCAAGTGGACCAGATTCTATCTGTGACATATCCTAGCCATTTAAAAGAATGGCTGGATGTTTTTGTTAAGTAAATGTAAGAATTTTAGAAAGCACTAAACACTTTATTTTTAAAAAATTTTTCTTGTGATCCATCTTTGAACATAATATAGTTTTACATAAAATGTAAACACAGAATTTCAACTTTACTTGTAGAAATAACTAACGTCCCTATTTCAATTTTTTCCTGTTACAATTTTCATAATGTGATGATAATCCATCATGTTGATATAACGTAATTTATGTAAGGTTCACTTAGTACAGCAAATTTAGGTAATTTTAATTTGTTTGAAAAATTTGGGTTAGAACAAGTTTTTCTTCTGAGTTAATTTTAGTATGTTAACTAGATTAAAAACTGTCATTTCTGTAACATCCTGTACTTTGTCCTAGTCTCTTTTGGATCAGTTATATCATCAAGTACAGTGTCAGTAACAATATACTACCATGCCAGTGTTGCTGGTATTGCATATTTCAGCTTTTTTCCCCTTCAAATATCAAGCTGTAAACAAAAATTTAATAGAAAGCAAAAAGTACTCACCATCTCATTACCTTATATAATATGTATTGAATGCCTGTTTGGGGACTCTATTAGGAATAATGCTAAATACATGCAAATTATTTATTTCATTTAATTTTATACAAATCCTATTAGACAGATTCCATTATTGTTCCCATTTAAGGATGAGGAAATTGAGGCCTTGGTGCTTGAGTGAATTTACCAGGTCACCTGATCCTAGCTGATAGGTAGGCCAAGCTAGGATTTGAACCCAGGTCTTATTCCAGAGTCTTGTTCTTAATCTTGCTTCACTTAGTAATGTATGCATTTTTAAAATATTCATATAGGTTTTCCATGTTTTATAGTTGTCATAAGTATTTTAATGGCTATATTCTTTCATTGTGATAAAATACCAACTGTATTAAATCATTTTATTCATAGTGAGTATTTGGGCTCTCTAGGCTATTGCTATTACAAGATGATGCTTCATTGATATTTTTTCTGTGTGCTTACTTTTGTATTTGTGGAAACATTTCTAATAAATTTCAGGAAAGGAATATATAGATCACTTTGGATTCTTGCATGTAACTCTTTTAACATGTGACCCGTTTTATTATGACACCTGTTTTTAACTAGTGTTAAAAAGATGTTTGGATTAATTGCTATAAAGAAGGAAATAAACATGCTCTTATTTGGTTATATGTTATTATAATTTAATGTTTCTGAGTTCTTTTTGTTTTGCTTATTGGTGACTCTGCATTAGCATTTTAAAATTACTTGAACATTCTAATACATCCATATCATGAAATCAAGATGCAAAAGAATTTTAACATGACTTCAGAAAGGATACAGAAAAGCCAAAGATGCAGAAATGATATATGTTTATTTGTGGGTAATTAAAAAAACTTAATTTGTACTTTTATTTTAAAAATTCTAATGAGATTTATTTTATAATCAGAAGATATTTCTTTTTAAGCATTTCTGATAGAATGGTGTACATCATGTTGAAATAAAATACACAAAATCTGAGCTAAGGGATTAGTTATAAAGAAACAAATGTCTGTCCCTTGTCTCTAAATCTTTAATGGAAATAAGATTTGGTTTTAAGCAGGAGAAATAAATGACATAGCTTCCCAATTTTTTGTTGTCTTTTTTTTTTTTTTTTTTTACAGAGATGCTGTTCAGTTAAATGTGATTGCTACACAACAGCTTATTCTCCTTGCACAACAAATGAAGAATCTGGAAGTGTTCATGCATGTGTCAACAGCATATGCCTACTGCAATCGAAAGCATATTGATGAAGTAGTCTATCCACCTCCTGTGGATCCCAAGAAACTAATTGATTCTCTAGAGTATGTTTGTTTGAAATTTATATACATTTGCTTTGATCCTAAAACTTTGGATCCAAGTTTATATAGATATGTATCTGTTGGTCAATTTCAGTTTCTCCCTCTTCACCCCTTTCCACCCATATACACATGTATATATCTCTATATATGCATATGTATGTACACATTTATCTCATTCAACAAAATTATTACATATCTATTAAGTTGCAGCTTTTTTGGTAAAGACTTCTATCTAAACAGCTGTTGGTGTCATTTAACGTGGAGCTTTCACTTCTGACCAGGTGTGATGGTTGGAAGAAGGCCTTTGAACATACTCATTCATGATATTAGGGACTCTGTTTTCCAGGCAATCAATCCTAGTGACTAAGTACTTGATACCCATGGGGACTAATGACTACCTATTGATTAGAAAGATTGTAATTTATTAAAAGATTATCTTTTTTATTTTTCCCAATGGAATATACCTGTAGAGGTATCTTTAATTATTAGAGAATCAGAGGAGTCATGATCCTTTGATACTTTGAGTGTTACTTGTTTGTCATCTTTCCAAGGACTCAGATCCTGTTAACAATTAATTGCATGAGACACATTTGGATATGGAGTGAGTGAAGTACGTTTATATCATGGCCAGGATTTCATTTGCTTCATTCAGCCTGTGCTTTCTTGTCAAGTGAAACAACAAAGAATCGGCAAAAGCAATCTTTCTACTTTTATAGACTGCAATTATAAAAACCTTTCAGTATCCATCATATCTTCATATGAGGATTTGTTAATCCCCATATAATATTCCTGTAGTCTTTTTACCCCTTTATTCTTACCTGTTTCCCCTCAGGTCTTCTTTCTTCCCAAAGATTCTGTCCACTTTAATCTCCTTAGTTATCATTCTCTGGTTTCTCAGTCCAATTCTTTTCCTAAGGGTGCTACAGAGTGTTCTTAGCTCCTTCTTCAAATTTTCTCCTAAAATAAGCTTGTAGGCCCTTTTCTTTATGATTTTCCTGTGAATCATGAGGAAGCAGACAGATTATAATAATGAAATAAGTGTATGAGTTTACTAAGATAATTCTTAGGATAATTTCCTGGTTACTGTTTTCTGGCTCCATTTCTTAGATGGTTCTGAATACCTCATTTTCTTCACAGGTCAGTAGGCAGAAGTTTTTAATATCTTTAGAAATAGTTGAGTAGAAGTTAATGAAGCTTTTTACTTTTTCTCTTATTGATGGCTAGGATATCCAAATATTTAAGTTGCTGAGAGAGAGAGTATGTAACCTTATAATTTTATTTCTTTTTCCTTTCAAAGAAATCTAGCTAACAGATAATTTTAGGATAACTCATGGATTGTGTCTATAAATATACTTTGGTGATGAGGCTTACTGGCTAAAGTCTCTCCTCCATTTAGGTAGTTTGTTGTTTTTTCTTTTAATGTAGCAACATCTCTTCCATTTCTCAAAGTTGTCTTCATTATGGAGTTTTTCCTAAGTTGATTAGCAACTGTTCTTCAGTTTTATAAGTATTCTTTTCCTTTCACACACGAAAAGTTCTTCCACATACAGAAAAATTCTTGATAATCTCTGTTTTATGTTTCTCATCAATTAATATGGCTGCTATTAGAGTGACAATTCGCTGAGTATACAATTATGTACACATAGCCTTATAGACAGTAAAGGAAAAGTATCTGAAAACAAGTACAATATATTGGAATCAGATACTCAGACTGGGAAAGACCATAGATGTCACCTAGTATATAACCTTCCTTTCACAGATTATCAGTGTAGACCTTTTTTTAAGAGACACTGAGAAAATTGGAGGAATTTTATGATTTGATAGTAGGTTACTAATTGAAATTTTTTACTGCTTAAATAACTTTATTATTTTTTAAAAAATTATTTGGATATCGATAGCTCTGCAAAATACTTCTCCTATCCCAAATCCTCAAACTCTTTCCATATGTCCTCCCTAAAGAAACAAAATATTCATACTTTGTGCCCAATCACATCTGATTTTTAAAAACATGTTAACACTCAAAATGAAATATTTTTTCTTTCATTGGTAATTTTAAACTGCAATGCAATATACTTAATGGCATTTCTTTTTAAAAATTAGCTTACCAAACTATTTTGTGAGGGGGAAAAATCAATTCAGGGCCTCAGAATAGAAATTCCCTGTTTCTGAAAGCAAATGATACTGAAAAGCCCCTTTTCTCCCCTGTTTGTAATTACGTCATTAACAGAACCAGCCCACAGGTGGACTTTCTGCTTCATATTAGGTATTGCTCAGAAACTTTTGGACTGCTGCTGTGAAGTATAAAGGGAGGGGTGAGTGGGATGGGATAATTCCAGCACAAAAGAGTGACAAGGCTGGGACCACAGAACGGAAGTTTTCTTAGCAGTGGAATAAAAATGGCCAAATCCCTTAGACCCCACTTGGCAGGTTTGTTTGGCGTAGAGGAAGGTGACTACAAGTGTCAACCAAAATATTGCACATAATACCACAGGTATGTAAACTACTGAGAATGTTCTAGAGGAATAACCACAGGTGGAGATGATCCTCTAATTGAATTTTTATAGCATGGTGCAATTTATTTTCATTGTTGACCCTAGTTTTTGGCAGTCTCACCAGTGAGAGCATACAGTTTTCAGTGCTTCACCTTAAATATTGAGGTCACTAGACCTTTTCTATTAATTGTATGTAAGTTCATTGCAAAGGTGTATAATTAATATGTTATGGTGTTCAGTGGGTATATATAGAACTATAATTCCTAATCTGAAACCCATTAGGCCAGATGTACTTTTGGAATTTTTTGGACTTTAGGAAAGAATAGAATCAATGTACTGTATAATATAAAATAAATGTAATTAGGTCTGGGGTAGCAACCTTGATCAAGTACATATGACCTATATGAATATTCACACAAGGTGGTATTAAAAAATTTTCACAAGTCAGTTCAGATCAGCTTTGCTTCCTATCATATGATTTATGAAAAGAACACTAAGTTTTCATACCTTTTTGGATATAGAGATTGGTAAAAGAGATGTGGACTTAAAGTTGATACATAATGGAAGGAAGATTAACTTCCATATCTTTAATGAAAGTTGTTAAATCAGAGTCAGCAACACATATGTTTGAATGTGCAAAGTAAGTGGGTTTTTTTAATAGTAAAATATATGAAAATTTTTTGCATGTAATTTCTTTGTTTACCAGGTGGATGGATGATGGCCTAGTAAATGATATCACACCCAAATTAATAGGCGACAGACCTAATACATACATATACACGAAAGCATTGGCAGAATATGTTGTACAACAAGAAGGAGCAAAGCTAAATGTGGCGATTGTAAGGCCATCAATTGTTGGTGCCAGTTGGAAAGAACCTTTTCCAGTAAGTTGTTAGAAATCTTTTAAATAATTGGAATTGAAAATGTAAAGTCATAACTCTGTATTTAAAGAGTTGGCAGTTAAGAGCAGATGTTATTCACTGAGTGTGGTATAAGATGACAAAGCTGTTTCCATTCATAGACTGAGACACTTTCATTGATACTTTTATTTCTAATTTAATGCTCTGTGTTTAGGAATGGAGAGCATTATGCTAAGTGAAAAAGCCAGGCAGTGAAAGACAAATACCATATGATCTCACCATTAACATTTTAAAAATCTTATTTGAAAGCTGAAGACTATGATGTTGTCTTGATCAGCATCATAGTTTTGATGTGAATGATATTTTTCATTGTGACTGCCAGGCTTGGTCTTCTGACACTCTACCATGTGTTGACTTTTAAAATTATTTGCTGATTGTCTTCCCTTGCAGAAGTGAAGGGAATAGAGATGAGAATATTTAGGATCTTATTTCATTTGCTTTTTACTACCAAAAAGATGCAAGTCTTCCAAGTTGTAGACTTCCCTGTGTAGGTCACAAGCTAAGAAAGATAGGAGATTTCTATGAGAATTTGCTCTAGAAAAGGAAGGCATTGTGGTTCCCTGAAGTAAGAGGAAACATAGATATAAACTAACAGATAAATTGATTTAGGAAAAATCTAGGTTTCTATAATGGTAGTATGTGATAGCATGCCATGTATAGCTTTGACAGTTCTATTTTCCTCTGTTTTATTCAGGAATTTTGAGGGTAATTTACCATTTTACCCAATCAGGATACTGTATCAGTAAATCACATAAAAGCAAACTTGAACAGGCTTCATTTAGCAAAAATTTTTGACAGGTATAAATTCCTTTTTGTAAAATTCTCCTTGCAGAGAGTTAATAGAAGTTTCAAGTAGGTAACCCCTGAAAATCATTTTACTTAGCTACTTGCAATCCCAGGGAAGGCGTGCTTCTATTTGGGATGAGGAGAAATAGTCTGGCCAGAATCTAGTCTAATTCTTAGTTTTTAAAAGAAATTACCAAGTATATATGTGAAATTGTAGATGTCACATAATAAATCTCTAGTTTCATAATATTCATAAACTGTCTACCTTTTTTTATTTTTGGTATTAGGGATGGATTGATAACTTTAATGGACCGAGTGGTCTTTTTATTGCGGTAAGTAAACCTTCTGATTTATTTAATGTTCTATGTATTTTTCTGTATTCTGTATATCTTTGTATTATATATGTACTCTGGCTTATATATCTTAAGGTGTTGTTTTTAATTTTAACAAAGGCAGGGAAAGGAATTCTTCGAACAATGCGTGCCTCCAACAATGCCCTTGCAGATCTTGTTCCTGTAGATGTAGTTGTCAACACAAGTCTTGCGGCAGCCTGGTACTCCGGAGTTAATAGGTATATGAGGTGACAATGTCGCTTGGTAAATATATGGTAACTGAGAAGGGAAAACAGAGCTATTGACTAATGTTAATCCCTCAGCCCTGATATTCCCATGCTAATATGTATAGGCATTATCACTTCCAACTGTATGAGTTGGCTTATTATAGGCAATAATATCAAGTGGTTCCATCATCAGCAGTAATTAAGAGTTAACATTAATTCTCGTGCACTACCTATAGAATAGACAGATTTATTAGGCAGTGAAAATGAACCCCTACTCCTGATGATTTTTTAATCCAGACTAAAGCTTGGTATGAACTTGGCATAAAGAGCTAAAAATTCACAGAGAATGACTTACATATATCAAAAGTCACACTAGAGCAGCTTTAATCAACTCAAGGGCCTCCTTTTAAAAGGGGATAGTATTGTTTACAGGTAACAACCTAAACTTTAAGCTTCTCAGTGACTTTTGTTTTCTAATAACCCGTATTCCTCGGACTGTGAGATGCACTCCCCCCCATTTAGGAGGAATAATGGTTGTTAATACTGTTGTTGAATTCTGTTTACATTTACATTGGTGAAATATTATGTTATTTATGTTATTAAATATTTTATTGCATTTTTTGCTTCAAAATTTTTTTTCCTATTTTCCTCCTCTGAAACCTAGGTGTGTCTTATGATCCAAAAAACATGGTAATAAGTGGTAAAAACTGGTAATAACATGATAAAAACTGCCCTTATTTTTGAAGTCAGTATTTTTTATATTTTAAAAAAGGAAGAATATGATTATATGACTATGGTTTCTGGTAAGAGGGAATTTGGTCCATAATATTTTCAACTAGAGCCTCTGAACCTGGAAAGGAGACGGGAAGAGCTGAAAATATTTGTTGTTTTTCTTACATTTAAAGACTGACACTTCTACTCATACAAAGAAGAAAAATATGAAAAGAAAAAAGTCTGTATTTTTAAAATAAGTAATACTGTTGGTAAGAGAGGGAAAAGGGTTGTAAATAATTATTTAGATGGCAAAAATCAATTTTTTTAAGGAAAATTTAAAAAATAATGTAGCAAAGGTACCCATCCTCATTTTTCCTACTTGAATAGCATATAAGATTTAGATTGGACAAGCTTGGCCTCTTTTTATGTT